CTGGACTATTGGACTAGTTCTATCAAACCTTTACAATTAATCCAGAACGCAGCAGCAAGATTAATTTTTAATGAGCCAAAAAGAATGCACGTCACACCTCTGTTCATCAATTTGCACTGGCTACCGATAGCTGCTTGCATAAAATTCAGGGCATTAATGTTTGCCTACAAAACCACCCCTTTACCTGAATTCATTACTTCAGAGTTATGTGCCTCTAAAAGCTTGTGTTCTGCAAGTGAACGGCGTATTATTGTTCATCCCAAAGAAGCACAAAATCACTTTCACAGACTTTTACATTAACTGTTCCCTCCTGGAGGAATGACCTGCCCAACTCAATCCCAGCAGCTGAGTCCTTAACCATCTTCAAGAATCGGCTAAAAACACATCTCTTCCATCTTTATTTGACCCTCTAACTCTAGCACTCTCTATTCTAATTCTATTCTTTATTTTTTTTAAAAGTGCCTCTTTTAGGCTTGCACTCTATTCATTTACTAACTGCTTGTTTTCTTTAAAAAAACTAAAACTTGCTTTTCTAATCTTTTTGTATTCTATCTCAAAAAAGGCCACTAACACTAGCTTGCTCTATTCCTTTTCTATTCTATCTGTTTTTTTTTTATTTATTATATGATTTTAAAAAACTTGCAATGTGTACTGCGTTAAGCTAACTGAGAGCACTTGCGTATCATTGCTCTTTTGTTGATTTTGATTGCATCTATTGTCCTCATTTGGTAAGTCGCTTTGGATAAAAGCATCTGCTAAATGTTTAAATGTAAATATATACCAGTACACACACACTACTACTGTGTAGGGCAGACGGTGTTCATCTTCTGCTCTGGGCCTCACGCTCGCTGTGATAAGAGACCAAAATAGGAGCATCTGCTGGAGTTCTCAAGTGTGAGGACTGGGGCTCCCGCTGGGTCTTCTCCGGCCCCCCGTCAATCACACAAACCCATCAGACGCCACAGTCACTGTTCTAAATACACTCACGCCTGTGCTCATTAATCCAGATCCACATCGTCCATGCATGTTTGTGTCAGTGGTGTTCTGTTTAAGTGATGGAGTGAGCAGTGCTGTCAAGCGATCTGTGAGCAGGATCTCACATTCAGACAGCCAGCAGGTGCTGTCAAACGTTAATAAGCTGTAGCTCATTCATCTGATGAACAAACATCTAATCAGCCGGTAGGTGCAGGATGAGCAGCTCAGAGACCATGATGCTGTTTTGGTTAAGTGTGGAGCTATTTTCATTAGTGAGCAACGACAGACGGAAGCATATCTGAGCATGTGAGCTCCTGGGCTATATTTGATTTCATCAGTCATAGTCCTGAGTGACTCATATTCACCGCTGCTCCTGAGACGATGTGTTTGACAGAGCAGAGACACAGCAGCAGAGCGGCACTCTCCGAGCTCATTCAGGATGAAATCATGTCTGATGATGGTCTCAGAGATGTGGACAGGATTGGTTTGCAGGGATGCTGTGCTGCTGGGGTTTCTGAGGTTTGCATCAGTGAGGGCTGGATTCGCGCCAGGACTGAAAGTGTGGAGTCACTGTGCTGAGATGCAAGAAAGGTGGGGCGAATGAAAATGTAAAGTCCCTCTCTGACAGAGACACTCATAGGAAGGCAGAAATACTCAAAGTAGTGCTAGGTTAGATGCTGATGAAACAGGGATGAAAGCACAGCTGTGAGCGACAGATTTACAGTATATGTGTGTGTATATAAATATATATATATATATATATATATATACAGTGGCATGTGCTCTAAAACAAGCTCCTGGATCATGTGTCATTTTCACAACTCGCAAAACTCAATCATCAACTAACAGTTTTTCTGAAAGATCAGCGGAACAACTGGTATGTTGTCAAACAATCCATTGAACACACTGTATTTCTGTCTGTCATAGATTCGTTTTCATTCTTGTCCAAAAATAAATATGAAGCTGCCCTAACTAAGGTTGTTTTCTGCTTTGTGCTGTTGAGAAATAAACAGACGGACATTAACTGCTGGTTCGCTCTTAAATTCCTATAAAGTAAATCTTGTATGCAATGCAATTAACACGACACAGAAAACTAATTGTAACCTTATTTAAAGTCAAAGCATACAAATAACATACATGGAAAATAATACTATAAATATGATTTAAAAGAAAAATCTAAGTATAAAAATGAGTTTTAAAGCAAATATGAAACTGGATTAATCAGAGAAACCCATCTCTCCCGTGCAGAGAGTGCAGAAAGGGAAGAGGAGGAGCAAAGACAGGAAGTTAACATTAGCACTTCAGGAAGCGTGCGGATTACATATTCTTTATGTTTTAAATTGGGCTGTCAAGCGATTCATTTT